TATAATTAAAAAGATATTTCACATTTTGCATTTCTTGTTTAAGATAAGACTTTTGTCACCGTATTAAGATACAATGGTGTGCCATCTACTTTGAACGTGATATTTGACAAAACTGGCAAGGGTGGACGCCTTCTACAATCGTATCCTGATTGATCATGGGCAAAGTAAAGATTGCTCTGGAATCGTGAGCGCTTACAATATTACGGTAATTGAAACTTTTTTATGATTATCTTCAGAATTTTTATTTTGAAAGAAGAAAAATTCATTTGTTTTACGACGTTTTTTAGATCGACAAATTCGACAGATTGTGGGTTCTGGATTCAGGTCTTATTAATAATATTCAACTTATGTGTTCTCCAAAATTGCTTGCCTTTGATCTCAATATCTCACAATTGCTCAAGTAAGTCGAGATGCCGTAAATACCACCACAGAAAACGAAGGATTAGTATCTTTAGTTGTTCAAGCTATGGATCCTATGAATACTCTAGTGAGTTTAAATTATAATTAAAATTTTAAATTAGAGATAATAATGTTGCAGTATGATAAAAAATAAAATTTATAACTTTCAAAATAATTTTTGAATTTAGTCCAAGGAATTAAAATATACAGTATTATACAGTATTTATTTTTGTTTTTATAAAAAAAAAATAATTTTGTAGCTTTCTTTGATGTTTTAGCAGAAATATGTATCACGTTATATTAAATATTCTTGTGAATCTTTAATTTTTGTAAATTTAAGAATATTTTTAAAAATGAATGTTTTTTTTTTTACTTGAATCATTAATTAATCATATTTAGATACTTATAATAACTTTTATATTCATATTTAGATATTTACAATCACTTTTACTATTTTGATCAGGAGAATTAATTTTAAAAAACAATTGAATGACTGTTATAAAAAACTGTGTATTCTGGGAAAAATAATTTCCAGAATCACATCCAGCTCAAGATTTATAAGAAATATATCTATTGAAAGTTACAAAATCAAGAAAAAATTAAAATATATCAGACAATATAATTAATTACGATATAAGTTATACCGTGATGATAATAATGATACAGGTGTATGTAGCAGATCACAGTGGTGATGGTTTAATCGTCTACCAAAATTCCGACAATTCCTTCCATCGATTGACTTCTAACACTTTCGATTACGATCCCAGATAAAATGACGATTGAAGGAGAAAGTTTCACTGTACAAGATGGAAATGCACTTAGTTCCATGACGAACAATCTTTATTACATGCTCAATCTTTATTATATCCTTTCTCTTCTCGCAGTTTGTATTATGTTAACACAAAATCATTCATGAAATTACAATATGAAGAAAATAATATCTAATATAAAGGGTAAATATAAAAAAAAATTTTTAATTTTATGAAATAATTTTCTATTAAATAGTACGTACTTTTGATTAAGAATATCCAGATTGTTTCAAGTTGTCTCCATTACACTATCATCTCGCTTTTACCTGTAAATTTAAATTGGTTATAATTATAATTTAATATATAAATTTTAACTAATTTTTATATATATCAAAAATTTGTTCCGGCTTTTAGAATCGATGCTTCAGATATCTTACATATTTTTGCTTAATTCCACATTTTTATTAATTTCAGAGTCCAAAATATTTTCAACACTTAATCAACCGCTAAAGCAGTATCGAAAAATGGCATCCTTTTCTTCAGTCTCGTGAATAATATAACTATTGGTTGCTGGAGCATCAAACACTTCAGAGAGAAAATGCCGTAATTGCAAATATTTTTTAATCTTCCTTTTTTCTTCATACTTTTTTGTCATTTTCTCGACACATTTCTTTCAAAACCTACTACTAAACATGATTTTCCGTATGAAAAGAATATGTCGTTACATTATTCCAATTACTAGAATTAACAGAAATATAAGTCACTTGATACGATGCAAATGATTGATACGCTTATGTTTGATAGAAAATCATATGATGTAGCAGTCATAGTGGGAATAACGTGATGTCATGTATTCATTTTTATGCAGAAATTTCCAGTAACTGCAATAAGTGGGAGTAACTGTGAGTAGCATTTGACAATTTTGAAATGTTTCACTTTTCAAATATACTATTATATTAATAAAAATAAATATACTATATTAATATAATTTAATATTAATTAATAAATATACAATACTATTAACGTTTTTCCTCTTATATAAGTTAATAATGCTTTTGTTTTTATTTGATTTTATTTATTTATTTTTTTCTTTTTTTCTATGAATTGCCTGTTATTTTACTTTTTTCGTAAAATTATATTCATATTAATTTTCTTTTCATCGAAATGTATGAATTTATTAGAATCGTGTAAATTTTTAATTAAATTAGTAAAAGATGTTTCAATTTAATTGAAAAGAATTGCTTCCATATATTGCCATTATTGATATAAATAATATAATAAACAACGAATATATATTAGTATTAAGTAACAGAATGCAAAAAATATTAAACAATGATTTTAACTTCAACGATATTAACTTCCGAATTTTGATTGTGACCGACTTGTTAGAAAACACTCGTTGCACAAATTCTAATATTCAGAATGGTAATAATCGTACGTAATCAAAATAACGATAACAACATAAGAATCACAATAAACTCTTTAGTTGATTAGCCATTTCTCGATGTATATAAACCGAATATTCTTCAAAATTTCTTTATATTATAAATGAATAGAATAAATATCGTTTTCACATAATATTTTTTAATTTTATTACTCTAAAAATTACGATAATATTACGATAAAATGTACTTGTATTTATATTAATTGATATTTCTAACATTAGATTTAACATGAATGAGTGAGTGAATGAATGCAGTGTAAATTAATATATTAAAAAGTTAAATAAATAGTTTGAAAAAAATACTTCATAATAAGATATCAAGTTTGAAAAAAATTGGAATTTGATACTTGTAAAATTACATTTTTTCTAATTTTATAACAATTATTTAGAATAGAGGTTATTTCATAAATTTCGATGCTTTTGCAAAATATTTTATCAAGATTATCATTTTGAACAATTACATTATTAATTAATTACACAAGGATACACTTCACTGATTTCACATCTAAACTGATTCTTTTTCAATTCTTTCGCTCGTTTTGCTAGATCATAAAAACAGAAAAATAAAAACATTTCTTATGAATAAGAAAAAATATTCGAATTTTCTTCTATGCTATGTATTTTTTGCATTTTATCTACTTTATGATTGAGGTTATTACTCACCAATGTGCAAAATCGCCGAACAAACACATACATTGGCTATTAAAAGTAGTCAAAGCACAACGTGACGTACTTCTGCAACATCACATATTCTTTTCCTGTGGAAATTTGCCGTAAACAATTTGAATTCAGCCATTTTTAGTGATTGAGAGGATAGCGCATTTCCGGCAAATGACACTGCTAATGATTCTCTTGCATCATTCCATGAGACGTCTTAATTATTTTTTGTACTTTTGTTAGTAATAATTCTATACTATTAAAGGATAAAATATAAAATTATATTTATCTTATTTTAGCAATAATTTATTAGGACAATCTATATCGGGTAATTAAAATAATACAAATTGCAAACTTGTAATGTAATTGTATTTTTTATCGATTATACTTGCATCATTTTAATTCTTAGCTTATCAAATAATCCTCATAAATTATACAGATAACACTGTTATTAACCTGCAATAAAATAAATTAATTAATATTTAAATGATGGATTATTGTAATTGAAAAACGTTGCAAAATGTAATTTTGACTATTTGTTAAATATTGTTAAATTTTATAATTAAATTTTATATCGATATATATGAAAATGTTAATAATATATTCCTGGGACATGACTAATTTTAAGTAAACATAAAAATTGACATACATAACTTGTCACTTATTATATTTATTATAAACTCATATAAATTTATTATAAACT